TTTTTTTCAGGGCTCCAAGTATAGGCCTTCGTCCAGTGGTAGATGTTAACGTGGCCATGGTCTCGGCCTGTACCGCCATTGACCTGGGTCTGGGCCCGGGCCTGTAGTCCCGTTGACCTGGGTCTGGGCCCGGGCCTGTACGGCAGATGTTGACAGTCAGGCAGAGAGGCTGACAGACAGACGGACAGACACAGAGACGAGTAGAGAGACAAACTGTTTGTCTGTTTGATTGTTTGTCTGTCTGCCTGTCTATCTGTCTCGCATTCGTGGGCCTGAATCTAGTCTAGGTCGAGAGGCTGTATCGTGTGTCAGGTCGACGGTCATGTCTGGGAGATAACCTGAGGGTCAGGTCGGGGCCACAGCCTAGGAGCAGGCCACAAAGACAGGCTCCGGGAAGGCCGGGCAGATATTCCTAGGTGCATAGCATGTAGGGGACGCAGCCCCACTGCCATGCACAGGCCCTGCATACAGGCTCATGCCCACAATTTTTTTGCCTGAGCCTTTTTTTTTCCCCTAATACTCATGCACGTAGGGTCTGTACCTGTGCGAGGACGCAAACAGATGCATGCAGAGAGGCAGGCAGGCAGGCAGACGGACACGCAGGCAGACATAGAGGCAGATAGGCAGATAGGCAGGCACACACGCAGACAGACACGCACGCAGACAGGCAAGCGGGCAAACAGGCACGCAGGCATGCGGACAGACACTTGGGTCTAGACCTGCGGAAAGGCCGAGACTAGGTCTGGATCTTGGGTGTTGGAGGGATGAGGGTGTCCTTGGAGGGAGGTCCAGGGGCTGTTGGGAGGACTTCACCTCTCTCTCTCTCTCTCTCTCTCTCTCTCTCTCTCTCTCTCTCTCTCAATATATCTCTCCATCTCTCTCTCTCTATCTATCTATCTTTTTTTTTTTCTCTCTTCAGAGGTAGGCAGGCATGCAACAGACGGGCACACAGCCATGAAATGGAAGTCCTTTTTGTCTCTCTCTCTCTCTCTCTCTCTCAATCAATCAATGAATTTGATCGATTGATTGATTGATTTTTAATTTTTCCCGCTAAATGGTGGGTAAGGGCTAAACGAACATGCAGGTAGACGGGGGGAGGGGAAGGTTGGAGTATGGATCATAATACACGTTAGATTATCATCTAATTTTGCTACCAGTATATTCGTTGTTTTTTTCATGGTGGTCTCCGCAGACGGACAGGCATCTGCTGTATTCGGCGATTACTTCGCTGATGCTCTCACGGAAGAGAAATAGCTTCAGGAATGTCGTGAACGATACGAGTATATCGTGGCTGAAGATTCATGACAAGGATGAGCGTGAACCTCGGTCTGGGTGTAAAGTGTCCTACGGTGTGCGAGGTAAGGTTCCAAACGATTCTGCATCGGAGAGAACATGCGGCCGCTACATGACAAACAATGAAGGTCTTTAGTGGACCGAGGACGAGTTGCTTGGGATGTTGAAGAAGAAGGAGGTGGAACTAGCTGCACTTCGGAGTGCATTTTGAAAAATCGAATTGAATGCACAACAATGAGTGGTTGAAAGTTTCCTTGAAAGGAAACGAAGTGAAGAGGTGAGAGATTTTTTTTTGTCCGGTACTGTAGATGTGAGGAAACAGGATGATGTTGGCGAGGACATCGGCAACCAATTTAGGCATTTGATGCAATCCAACATTAGAAATGAGTTGCTTGACGAAGTTGTTGACCTTAGTGGTAGAATTGATCCGCATGTGTGGCAAGAGTGTGAGTCTTTGCGTCTACGATGTGAAGCAGCCGAGAGTGGGATCAGAAAATTGTTGTCCGCGGGTGCCTTGCCGTCTATTGATGCTTCTATTGCATCGGAGTTGTTTGAGCTTCAATTAGTTGGAACTTTGAAAGAGCTTTCTCAAAACTATTTAATTGCTATGTTGCAATCATTACGAACAGTTGGTTTAGAGCTTGAATATAAAAATACATTATTAGAGGTGCATAATACAATGAGGTTTCTGGTTAGCGATAGTCAGTTGAGGGCTACAGTTGTTAGTCTCGGACAGTTGTACAAAGAGGCGCGGGAAGAGTTAATGGACGTTGCGTTTAGGGAGCATTTATTAGATCGATGCGATCAGGGACTGACGAATGGCCTGATGATGAATTACCAACAACAATCGTATACCGTGAGGATTTTATTAGCAAATGTTATTGGTGCTCATTCCCTTGTGTAGTTTATGAAGGAGATGGAGCATGTGAAAGAGAATTGAATGCTCTTGCGAGCATAAATAAACAACACACTGTGGCAATACTCGCCAATTCCAAAGAGGGGACAACAAAAACATAAATGATTTGACGGTTGTTAGACCTAGGCGTGATGTTGTTGTTAATGAGTACGAGGCATTCAGAATAAAAGAAGGAGGAGGGAACTTCGTGGACAAGATGATGTCGGTGAATAGTGTGATTTGTGTTTGTCGTTGAATATGCAGTTAGTTGTACTGGAGTGAGAAAAGTGGAAGCGGGAGTAGCTAGAGCGGGAGGGAGAACGAGGAGTTGGAGTGGGATAGTGAGAGGAACGTGTGGTTTCACGTTGTTGTTTTTTTTTTTCTAGTAATGATGATGACATTTGAAAGCGTTTTATTATAAGACGCTTGAATTCAAATCTTTTTTTCTCTTATTTAAATCGTCTCTCTCTCTTTCTCTCTCTCTCTCTCTCTCTCTCTCTCTCTCTTTTATTTAAGTCGCGTCTCTCTCTCTCTCCTTCTTTTTTTTTTTTTTTTTTTTTTTTGCATTTCTTGTTTTGACAACATGAAATTGGAATAAAATATTGTTGATGTATTCAAATAAAACTTGCCTTAGTCGTTTGTTGGTATGTGATCTCGTGTTCTACGTGTTCTACGTTATGAAGATGATATTATTCCTTACTTGCTAACATTTGTTAAATTTTATTTTTCAATATTGTATGGTTTTCTGTATTCGTTCGTATACTATTCTGCTTATTCTTGAAGAACAACCAAGTGAGTATGCCTCAGACATGAGATAATGTTCAAAAGCGGTTGAGATGGGTAAGAAGTTTGGAACAAAAAAAAATGTAGGCATAAATGTTATATGATGTTATAATGTAAATTTTATGAATAATTAGAAAGGAAGAGTCTCGATAGTAAATAAAAAAACAACAATAAACTTAGGACGTCTTCCAGTAAATGGTATCGAAGGAAAGCAAAGCATGCTCAAGAATAATCAAGGAACGTATGATTGGTCTACATGGGGCGTTGAAAATACTCAAGCGCTTATGTGATGAAGCAAATTAAGTATTATTGGGAAGGGGGGTCACATGTATTTCGAATGAATATTGGAGAAGGAACCAATCTGATAAGAAGGAACAAAGATGACAATAAGCGTAGCCTTTTTCCCAAGGCAACCATGCTATCCCCATTGACCTCCGCTCACCTAGACCCGTTCCAAAAAGTCTTGTTCTCTACCCCCTTTGCTCCTATCTCATCACAGTCCCCGAAGCAAAAGAGGAAAGGAAAGGTGAGGCCATCAACGATGTGCCCGACCTCGATCGCTACGAATGGCTCTTCCTGGAACCACGACCTTCGAGGCTGGTTGGGGAGAGGTGCGGCACGCCGCATAGACCCATTTATGGGGGTGGTGCAATGTTGTTGCGGAGGAACCAACTCCTACTTCTGAGATCCAGGCCTTGTGCTCAGGCGAGGAGAATGGGTAATACGGACTGCTTCCTAGCAATCGGGGTTCGAAAAGGTCGGCGAAGATATTTTACCTTTTTCAAATCTTTTGTGGACCGATGACTGACTTAGGATGTCTCAAGTTGACCGCATGTAGGAGCCACGTCGATTAAGGTGGATTGGATTCATTCGAAGTTCCAATCCCAGTGAGAAATTTATCCCAATAGGAAAGTGAGCCCTGTCAGAGAATGGCAAAGGGCAAACGTGGATAAACGAGGTTTGTTTTTGTGATTCGTGAATTAAACTCGGACTTCGTAGCCAGTTACTCTTATTTTTGTGGGCGTGGCCCGCACCGCAGGCACTATTATTGTTTTGTTTTCGTTTTGTTATTATTTCATTTTATTCACTTTATTTTTCTAGTTCCCTTGTTTAGTACACAAGGACCATGACTCTTCTTGAGTTTAAAAAGCAAACAGTGGTGCATGCGAGATTGTGCTAACGCCGCGCTGATTCTGTAAGTCGGAGAGGTAGAGGCGGAAGGCGCATAGACTGCAGCTATCTGAGCCTAGTGTCGCGGGTATACCTGTGTTGTGCATGCAAGGGAGTGAGTACCTGCTACCGGTACTAACAGAAGGCTATTCTGGAGGAGTGGCTATGGCGTGCAAAAAAGGACTGGAGGGTTAAAAGCCTAATTATTGGAGGCTTTTGGTACGCTGGCCTTAGCGTCGGGGGCAGGTCCCTGGATCACAACATCTTGAATTTTGGTGGGGAAGATGCTAGGCTCAAGATCAATGTCAAAGGGGGTAGAGAGGAAGAGATGAGAAATGACCAAAAGCTGCAGACTGCTATCACAAGACCAAAAACAAGGAAAGAAGGCTTCAGAAGGATCACGTTACCGCCCAACTTGAGGTCATTATCGCCTACCACGAAATAGAGACTTCAAATGGGACCACCGAGAGGCAACAAAGGGATTTGGACCATGACTCAAAAGCAGAGAGTGAGGAGAGCGACGCGGCAACCCAGCCTTGGCACGAACTGGATCAGTCGTGAAGAGACCACCCGCCAACAACGCCTGTGGAGGACGGGCCTGAGGCCAACTCTCAACGACGAAGAGACTGAGTCGTGAGGCGGTTATGAATGACAAAAAGAGGGTGACGAGGATGCGTGTGGACTGGCAATGGGGGACGGTCAGAAGCCAACTCTAGAAGGAGACTATAAGGCGATGAGACGGTTACAGGTCGTGTAGAGGAGGGAAAGTGTGTGTGAAGCAGGTCAAGAGCCAGAGACGAGCGAGAGAAGTCAAATGTACATGAGCCGCTCAAGACAGATATACATGCTCTCGACAGTGAGCGTCGACTAGTCTTTCCTTAAGTTATAGAGGAAAGAACGTAGTGATTAATTTGGGGGAATGCAGAGTCAGCCTCGATAATGAGCAAACCAGGAAGAACAAGGTCTTTGGATGCTATTTGCTTTCAACTCTGCTAGCACCAACAGTCACATTTTCCACCATCGCTTCGTGTAAAGGCTCCAACAACTTATGTTAATAGGCGAAGTCAAACTTTCAAAAGATTCTAGCTGGAAGTACAAACGCGTAGAGAATCATTTGCGTTTTTTTGCTACTCCCATTGTCCGCCATTTTTAGATCCATAGTTCTTCGAAGGCAGATTTGTTCATGCGAGCAAGTGTGCAAAAAGGAGGCCGTTGTCACTAAATGCCAACTCCGACCATCGACTGTGGCCCCTACTTTCATTTCGTCTAACCATCTCCTTTGTCATCACATGCAATGTTACTCACATTGTCTTTTTAGCAATCTTCCGAGTTATCTAAAACTGGTGTGGAGAAGTTTGGACCCAATTTGTGTGATGAACGAGGTGTTATTCATTTGTATGAGCGTTCAAGAACTGACATGTTGCAAGGAATGATCATAAAAGTGGGTTGTTGGCGTCACTGGTTTCTTCACAAGATCTTCCTTACTCTCAAGGGTTAGAGCCTTCGCCAATCGAAGTGTGGGTTTATGATATTTGCGGAGTGGGGATCCTCATTTCCTGGCTGAATTGTTGTGAACTTCAATGGAAAATCAGATTGTCGACATCATCTGAGAGTGCTATATTGTCATCAGGTTTGTTATGGATTGATGTCATTCGCAAGTAGTAACTCATCATCAACTAAGTTGCGAAGTGTATAGCCCTATGAGCGAGTATATGCGATATAGTCCGAGCCGTGAGTTTGGTGTCATTCACATTGATCACGTTCGACCTCGGATACTTAGTTGTTTAAATTGAGTAGTACCACAATTCAGACCACGTGCTCGTGAAGGATCTTGATTGAACCATACAGAAGTAGGAAACATGATTGCTAGGATTGAGCCTGCTGCAATCTTTGGGATGTATGATCGAGCCAGTCGGATAAGGCTTTATTTTTCTTCCCCTTTTCTAAGCCATCTGACTTCCTTGCTCTCCTTTTTAGTTTTCTCCAATATGAGTGAGCTTTGGCTTATTCAACATATACTTTTTGTTGGGGTTAATGTCAAGTGGTATTGTGTAACTTCCCCGCATATTCATTCGCGAAACTCACTCATCTAGTGGAATGATGATGACTGATTCTCGGAAGAATTTGAATACCAATTGAGACCCCGGTAAGATAAGATTTTGATTGACCCTAATTGAGAGCGTCTTCGTTCAACTCTCACTTAAGACCTTTGCTCAT